TAATATTAAGGATGTAGAGATATCTAGAACTTGAATATGACTATCAGGCCTTCAGAAGACCTACTCTTTGTCATTATTTGGAAAAAATTAAGTAAGATTCGAAGATTTGAAGAAATTTCCAGTATCTTAACAACTTTAGAACTAAAAATTATACTTGGAAAACGCTCTGATACTACATGTACTAATATTGGCGAAAAATTTTCTACGCATGCATTCACATGTATAGAGTTTGTAAACGAAACCAGTTACTCAGAGTAAGGACCTTATAAAACAATTTCAAAAAAAGAAACCGGCACAACGAGAAGAGTAAACTTTACCAGCATCTCAGAGCAGTCAAATTTGTCGGTACCCGCACGTCCAGTGAAAGTGTGCCCAGCTAAAACACGCATGTCGATTGCGCGACCCCAGTCTATCAGCTTCAATATGGGTGTCGCAAGAATTTGCTCAATGTCGTCATGACATTCGCTCAGCCTAGAAAAAGATTGAAGAGATACAATAACAAATCTAAGTTAAACTTACTTCCTAAGAATCATAAAATTATCAGGTTTGATGTCTCCATGAATGATGTTCACAGCATGTAATTCACGAAGGATTCTTGCCATTTGGATTCCTACTAACGCAACAATGTACCAGCTTGGATCAATCCATTTGTTTGAGAGATCCTATGAAAAAACTTTCTACAAACATAAAATGCCAGATAAAAAGAAAAAGTCCAAGATATATTCATCAAAAAATTTACCAAAAGAGTTCCGTAAGGATGGTACTCGTTGAAAAGGACTGATGCATTGTTGAACACGTATGCCTCTGTCACCTAAATTTCGCCACTATGTGAACAATTAAGTGATACGACATACAAGTCTAAAATGTAGTGTATTTTGCTCACCTCCATGACACTATCTAACATGAACTGTTTGGAACGGTCCACGCGCATTTTTACCTCAGAGCATATATACACCTCCCATGGACATGAAGGGATTTCATACTAAAAAATTAATTCTTCAAAGATGAGTGAAGCATGAACGGTGAGCAGGATACCTTAAGTGCCAAAGTCTTTCCCTCTTCATTTGTGCATTTATAAACTTTAGCAAATCCTCCCTGACCAATCAAATCAAGGATGCTAAAAGCCTCGCCGCCAAAGTTCACCGTTCTTCCCGCTGTAACGCGTGGGCATGGTGTCTGAAGAAGATATAAAGAATTGAACAGGATTGCTTATTAATTCAAAAAGCATGGAAAAAAAGAAAATAGAGAAAAATCTGTCGGATTCATCAGAAGATCTCTCACA